TCCACTCTGTAACAGGACGATGGACAGGTGTGTCAAGGGAAACAGAATATGTCCACTCTGTAACAGGACGATGGACAGGTGTTTCAAGGGAAAACAGAATATGTCCACTCTGTAACAGGACGATGGACAGGTGTGTCAAGGGAAACAGAATATGTCCACTCTGTAACAGGACGATGGACAGGTGTTTCAAGGGAAAACAGAATATGTCCACTCTGTAACAGGACGATGGACAGGTGTGTCAAGGGAAAACAGAATATGTAACAGGACGATCCACTCTGTAACAGGACGGAAAACAGGTGTCACAGGTGTGTGTGTCAAGGGAAACAGAATATGTCCACTCTGTAACAGGACGATAGACAGGTATCTCAAGAGAAAACAAAATATGTCCACTCTGTAACAGGACGGCGGGCAGATATCTCAAGGAAACCAGAATATGTCCACTCTGTAACAGGACGATCAAAGGTGTGTCAAAACAGAATATGTCACTCTGTAACAGGACGATGGACAGGTGTGTCAAGGGAAAACAGAATATGTCCACTCTGTAACAGGACGATGGACAGGTGTGTCAAGGGAAAACAGAATATGTCCACTCTGTAACAGGACGATGGACAGGTGTGTCAAGGGAAACAGAATATACGGTCCACTCTGTAACAGGACGATGGACAGGTGCACAAAGGAAAACAGAATATGTCCACTCTGTAACAGGACGATGGACAGGTGTTTCAAGGGAAAAAATAATATGTCCACTCTGTAACAGGACGATGGACAGGTGTGTCAAGGGAAAACAGAATATACGGTCCACTCTGTAACAGGACGATGGACAGGTGTGTCAAGGGAAACAGAATATGTCCACTCTGTAACAGGACGATGGACAGGTGTGTCAAGGGAACACAGAATATGTCCACTCTGTAACAGGACGATGGACAGGTGTGTCAAGGGAAAACAGAATATGTCCACTCTGTAACAGGACGATGGACAGGTGTGTCAAGGGAAAACAGAATATGTCCACTCTGTAACAGGACGATGGACAGGTGTGTCAAGGGAAACAGAATATACGGTCCACTCTGTAACAGGACGATGGACAGGTGTGTCAAGGGAAACAGAATATGTCCACTCTGTAACAGGACGATGGACAGGTGAATATGTCACAACAGGAAAACAGGTGTGTCAAGGAAACAGAATATGTCCACTCTGTAAAAAGGACGATGGCCTGGTGCACAAAGGAAAACAGAATGTGTCCACTTTGTAACAGGACGATGGACAGGTGCACAAAGGAAAACAGAATATGTCCACTCTGTAACAGGACGATGGACAGGTGTGTCAAGGGAAACAGAATATGTCCACTCTGTAACAGGACGATGGACAGGTGTGTCAAGGGAAAACAGAATATGTCCACTCTGTAACAGGACGATGGACAGGTGTGTCAAGGGAAAACAGAATATGTCCACTCTGTAACAGGACGATGGACAGGTGTGTCAATATGTCCACTCTGTAACAGGACGATGGACAGGTGTGTCAAGGGAAAACAGAATATGTCCACTCTGTTACAGGACGATGTACAGGTGTGTCAAGGGAACACAGAATATGTCCACTCTGTAACAGGACGATGGACAGGTGTGTCAAGGGAAACAGAATATACGGTCCACTCTGTAACAGGACGATGGACAGGTGTGTCAAGGGAAACAGAATATGTCCACTCTGTAACAGGACGATGGACAGGTGTTTCAAGGGAAAACAGAATATGTCCAGTCTGTAACAGGACGATGGACAGGTGTGTCAAGGGAAAACAGAATATGTCCACTCTGTTACAGGACGATGGACAGGTGTGTCAAGGGAAACGGAATATACGGTCCACTCTGTAACAGGACGATGGACAGGTGTGTCAAGGGAAACAGAATATGTCCACTCTGTAACAGGACGATGGACAGGTGTGTCAAGGGAAACAGAATATGTCCACTTTGTAACAGGACGATGGACAGGTGTGTCAAGGACGATGGACAGGTGTGTCAAGGGAAACAGAATATGTCCACTCTGTAACAGGACGATGGACAGGTGTGTCAAGGGAAAACAGAATGTGTCCACTCTGTAACAGGACGATGGACATGTGTGTCTAGGGAAAACAGAATATGTCAACTCTGTAACAGGACGATGGACAGGTGTGTCAAGGGAAACTGAATATTCTGTCCACTCTGTATCAGGTCGATGGACAGGTGTGTCAAGGGAAACAGAATATGTGTCAGGACGATGGACAGGTGTGTCAAGGAAACAGAATATGTCCACTCTGTAACAGGACGACGGACAGGTGTGTCAAGGGAAACAGAATATGTCCACTCTGTAACAGGACGATGGACAGGTGTGTCAAGGGAAACAGAATATGTCCACTCTGTAACAGGACGATCCACTCTGTAACAGGACGATGGACAGGTGTGTCAAGGGAAAACAGAATATGTCCACTCTGTAACAGGACGATGGACAGGTGTGTCAAGGGAAAACAGAATATGTCCACTCTGTAACAGGACGATGGACAGGTGTGTCAAGGGAAAACAGAATATGTCCACTCTGTTACAGGACGATGTACAGGTGTGTCAAGGGAACACAGAATATGTCCACTCTGTAACAGGACGATGGACAGGTGTGTCAAGGGAAACAGAATATACGGTCCACTCTGTAACAGGACGATGGACAGGTGTGTCAAGGGAAAACAGAATATGTCCACTCTGTAACAGGACGATGGACAGGTGTGTCAAGGGAAAACAGAATATGTCCACTCTGTAACAGGACGATGGACAGGTGTGTCAAGGGAAACAGAATATGTCCACTCTGTAAAAAGGACGATGGCCTGGTGCACAAAGGAAAACAGAATGTGTCCACTTTGTAACAGGACGATGGACAGGTGTTTCAAGGGAAAACAGAATATGTCCACTCTGTAACAGGACGATGGACAGGTGTGTCAAGGGAAAACAGAATATGTCCACTCTGTAACAGGACGATGGACAGGTGTGTCAAGGGAAACAGAATATACGGTCCACTCTGTAACAGGACGATGTACAGGTGTGTCAAGGGAAACAGAATATGTCCACTCTGTAACAGGACGATGGACAGGTGTGTCAAGGGAAAACAGAATATGTCCACTCTGTAACAGGACGATGGACAGGTGTGTCAAGGGAAACAGAATATACGGTCCACTCTGCAATAGGACGATGTACAGGTGTGTCAAGGGAAACAGAATATGTCCACTCTGTAACAGGACGATGTACAGGTGTGTCAAGGGAAACAGAATATGTCCACTCCGTTGCTAATGACGTTAATACTGATATGATCGTAGTGGTGTTATCTACCTAATGGTAGGCTTGCTTCCGGGCGTCCTTGATTTATATTACACAATAAACAAATTTTAAAACTCATTTCTAGTCAATTATTTTACTTCATACTTCGGTCATGTAAATATCTTATCCGTGGATTTGCTGAGATAATCATCATAACAGGCCTAGTTAGATCATCACGAAAGTTGATAAAAAGATTCATGATGTGTAACAGTCATGTAACCTATTTAGAGAAACGTCCCACCATACTATCATCATTCTAATCAGAATAACATTTGTGTATAATTTATAATCCAGATCTTCGCCATCGAGTAAGTGTATTTTATAAACTCGTGTTCAATTTGTTCAAATAAATGTGTTTGAGTAGAATCAGAATATCTAACCTCTCTTTGATTTAAGACAGATTTCCACACTATTTTTTAGGCATCGAGTACGCTAGGGTGAAGGCTTGGCAGGCTGTATCAGTCACATCAATTAATATATGTTTGGAGGACATTGTTGAAAGATAAATTTAGTGACTTCTAAGAAACGATCGTCGCTTTAAAGCTAATATCTTGATATATACTTAAGTTTTGTATATTCTTTAAAAGCGAAATTGAAATTGTGAAAAAGGTGGGGGGACGCTAGGCAATGAAAATTGATGCAGCGTTTTATTTTTTCATGTTTGAAGCTGACTATGATTACGATGAGGGGATGCCATTGACGCCCACTTCAAACCTGTGGTTTGAATATCAAATATCTCCACTCGTTAAAGTATACAATCTTGAAAACACGTTTCAGAATCATATCGCGTAGGTGTAAAAGTATACTGAAAGCACACCTAGGGATTGTGGAGATAAAACGACAAGGAAAGTAGTTAGTGGCGGGGTTTTCCGTAGTAACATAATTATAGATAGGTAACGTCACCGTACAATGTCAGAAATACATGATGCGTAGCCAAGTTTTGTTGTGTATACGCGTAATGTAAATGTGTTGAACTCGACTAGCCTAGCCATTACAAATGTAGGTCGTCACACGTGTGTATTTCACATGGGCTGTTTTCAAACTTGTGCTATCGGGTGAAAGTTTGACAGCGCAAACAGCCACAGGGACGTTTTACACTGGATTCGCATTGTCAGTTCTTATACTAATTTTAAGTATATATCTAAACCTTTTTGTTTTGAATCCGTGGATGTGCCGTCGGGGTCAGCGGGACGTATCGTAAACTAATTGGCGTATGCCTTCTAGCCCTATCTTGTCGTATGTAACATCCCGAGGGGCAAATTCCTTCAACGCCACATTGAGGTGCCTAGAGGGTTGTGTTTCACATGTATTAATTTTCATCTTTTACAAATTTTACAGATCATGACAAAGTACTAAACTAACCTTAACTTTATCATGAATTTGTGATAAATTTCTCGTGTGTCATGTTAAAAAAACGAGTGACATTCAATACTTCATCTTTTCAATGACGTTGTGTTAAACATACTTCCTGATCGCAGCCGATACAGCTGTACCCTGTCGTGTCCCCCTAAGATACAGGCCTACGCTATATAAAATAGTTTGTCAGTACGCATGCTCTGTGCATCAGCAGCGATTCCAGAAAGGCGTGGCATATACACACGGTCAGACAAGCGACAGATTGTCACTACGCTTCGAATTTCTTTAAGCTAAACAGCTTCACATTTAATACTCAACATGGCTGAATTCCAACATGGTCTCTTTGGATGTTTCGACAACATCGGCTTGTGCCTCGTATCATATTTTGTGCCCTGTTACCAGTTTGGTAAAAATGCAGAGGCCGTTGGAGAAGGGTGTTTCCTTTGCGGGCTAGCATCAATGGTGCCTTTAGTGAATTTTTACGCGGTGATGAAGATCCGTGGGAAAATCCGTGAAGCTAAAGGAATTGAAGGCTCGGCCGTGTCGGACTTACTTACATGGTGTTTTTGTGGAATATGTGCCCTAGTACAGGAAGCTCAAGAGGTCCAGGGAATGACACCACAGTCTATTGCCAGGGAATAAGTAAGGAGAGTAATTGACAATTAATTATTCGATATGCATGCATCCATTTTATGAAAGTTTACTAGAACATGTAAAATTGTAACTTTTATTACTGCTGATTATGACGTGCTGTGTCGGATCGATAAAATGAAACTGACTTTTTAGAATTTTGAAAACACCCGGTACAGAACATCTCAACGCTTGAAAAAATCCCGTCGCACTTTCTAACTAGTAGGTTCTCACGGTTTGCAAATAATTACAACATTGCTAGTGTTTTGCAATGTTTTTTGTAAGTTGTTTTGTTGCAAATTGGGGCAACAAATTGCTGTTCGGATTAGAATGATGGACGACAGACGATGTCGATGAGCCAATTCTTCACTGAAGTGCCTCACAAGAGAAAAACATGACCTTGTTATGCATGTGAACTTGTGACCTTTTGCCGACATCTGTTCTGTTAAGACGGTGCCTGGTAAGACTGAGAGAGATAGCATGCGCCTTCAATAGATTTATTTTTGGAAAGAAAAACATTGAATAGTTTTAAGACGAATTTCAATATTAGAAACAACGCAGACAAACATGGAATCGTTGAGTGCTAAAAGATTCTGAAACATGATGTCCGCGATTATAACACCGTCAAAGATGTTTAAATTTATGTGGATTTTACAACTGAAACATCAGCCGAAGGGAAAAAAGTCCCGTCACTAAGTTGGAGAGTGTGTGTTTACACACGCGGTATCTCACGGCAACACTGTGACATCTGTTGAAGTGATATTGATCGCATAGTTATACACCCTATTGAGGAAATTCGAAAAGTCCGTTGCTATGGAAACGTAATGGCAAAAATCATGCAAGTTGTTACCATTCAGTGTGACGTGATATTGTGTACCAGTAATTAATAAAATGGATAATGATTCGTCCGTGGATTATACGTGAAATTTTAAACGACCGAAAAAAAAGTGTGGACCGGAAGTAATTTGTTTGCAGAACTCTTCTTCGTAAAGGTACTTTTAGTGGAACAAGAGTCTATCACTTGTTTGTCGAAGGACAGAAATCATCTATACTTTCACTATAATTGTATACATATATATATAAATATAATGCATGTACATTGATTTAGCCAAAATTAACTAGTTCTTCCAAATATGGATTAATTACAGTATTATATGAACCGCATATATGCGTTCATATTTTAATGAACACAATAGAATTTGAGGCCTTCATTTCTTTTAAATACAAATTTCTATTTTTAATGCTTTTAAATACACTTAACTGAATTTTGAGAGTGTAATGGTCGACTTTTAGGAATTAAGAAAAAATCGATATTTTTCTGCTTGTCATCGTTATAGTTAATTATGCAATGTTTTCATTTCATGATATATTTTTTATGAATGTTTTCTAAAGAATTTGTGTTTCTACATCTTGAATGACTATCTTGGTCATGAGTCCAACCTGAAGATATAATCATTGTATACTTCACATAGTTGTCTGAAGTAACATTATATTAATGAATAAATTACAAACAAAATTGTACTAAACGAAATATGATCTTGTTTAATTATTTCTATACACTTGCAGACAGATGGGTGTCACATTTTAGAAACGTGATGTGTAACGCTCTTCTGTCGTAACGAAATATTCATGATAATTTCCGTGCGAGATTCTATAAATATTGACTTATCAAGCGAATTGAGCTTTACGAACGGAAACTTCCTCGACGTTTTGTGCCAAATGTCCTTGTTCTGAAGTCATCTATTTATCTGCGTTAGTGCAGATATTGTCAATGAACATATTTAAACAAACTTTAAAGAATGTGTGAAAATATTCCATGTTAACTAGAACTTAACAAAGTTTGTAACAATAATGGTTACTATAATGATGTTTTCAATCTTTGTTTAAACTAGATTATCACGATCAATAGTGACAATACATCCGGGTTTTTTTGTCAACAAATACCTTGACAATATCTTAATAGATTCTTCACCACCCTGACTACTTGCAACCAAATTTACCACAAAGACTGGTTTAATCCATGACTGCACTGACTTAGTCCATGACCACACTAGCTGACTTAGTCTATGTCCACACTAACTGACTTAGTCCATGATCACACTAGCTGACTTAGACAATGTCCACACTAACTGACTAAGTCCATGACCACACTAGCTGACTTAGTCTATGTCCACACTAACTGACTTAGCCCATGATCACACTAACTGACTTAGTCCATGATCACACTGACTTAGTCTATGTCCACACTAACTGACTCAGTCAATGATCACACTAACTTAGTCAATGATCACACTCACTGACTTAGTCCATGTCCACACTAACTGACTTAGTCAATGATCGCACTAACTTAGTCAATGATCACACTCACTGACTTAGTCCATGTCCACACTTACTGACTTAGTCAATGATCACACTAACTGACTTAGTCAATGATCGCACTAACTGACTTAGTCCATGTCCACACTAACTGACTTAGTCAATGATCACACTAACTGACTCAGTCAATGATCACACTAACTTAGTCAATGATCACACTCACTGACTTAGTCCATGTCCACACTAACTGACTTAGTCCATGATCACACTAACTGACTTAGTCCATGATCACACTGACTTAGTCTATGTCCACACTAACTGACTCAGTCAATGATCACACTAACTTAGTCAATGATCACACTCACTGACTTAGTCCATGTCCACACTAACTGACTTAGTCAATGATCACACTAACTGACTTAGTCCATGATCACACTGACTTAGTCCATGATCACACTAACTGACTTAGTCTATGTCCACACTGACTTAGTCAATGATCACACTAACTGACTTAGTCAATGATCACACTAACTGACTTAGTCCATGTCCACACTAACTGACTTAGTCAATGATCACACTAACTTAGTCAATGATCACACTAACTGACTTAGTCAAAGATCACACTAACTGACTTAGTCAATGATCACACTAACTGACTTAGTCCATGATCACACTAACTGACTTAGTCCATGATCACACTAACTGACTGAGTCCATGACCACACTAACTGACTTAGTCAAAGATCACACTAACTGACTTAGTCAATGATCACACTAACTGACTGAGTCCATGACCACACTAACTGACTTAGTCAAAGATCACACTAACTGACTTAGTCAATGATCACACTAACTGACTTAGTCAATGTCCAAACTAGCTGACATAGTCAAAGATCACACTAACTGACTAAGTTTGTGACAAAACTTCATATATTTAAGTAGTCGCCTCACTAACTGGGTTATTTAATATTATCACAAGTCACTGTTTTACTCACGCGTTTGTTTAATTGAGTATAGCCTCACACAGGAAAACAATGGCTGAAATTTACATATCCTCATATAACTCGTTTACGCGTAAAGCGAGAAAAAATATCGAATCTGTATAGACAAATATTTCAGGTGAATATGTGTTTTCATTGGGTGATTGTGCACTTAAGTTTTATCAACAATAGCCTACCGTTCATTGGACAAAGACAGGGTCATAAAGGAATCACGGTGTGAACACTATTAGTTCTATAACGATGCGGAATATTTGATATTTGAATTCTGAATTGAAAAACAGTGATATGAAATATGTATAACCATTATGATTTAAACACCAGCTAGCTAGGCGGACTTCCGTGCACACACATCACTTTTCCGTTCTTGTTTTTTCTTCAGTATTAATCAGACGAATGTTAAATGCAGATTATTGAAATATTCATGAATATTTACTGATCAATACAATCTACTTATCGACACTGAAAACTCCTCTAGTTAACGCTAAATGACAGTGAACATTTTACCACATTCGGGAAATTGACGAGAGCTACTTCACTCGTATTTTCTTTTCCAGCTTCAGCTGGGTGCACTAAGGAAGTGATAATATCCGGGTTTAGTATCAACGAGCGTAAGAACTCGACTGAACTAGCAAGCTATGAATGGTTATCGGAAATTGTATATCGTCACATTTAAAGTGGTTGTTTACTAATCGGGTTAAGTAACTCAGGGGTCAATTGTTGAATATTGCTACAGTTTGAAAAATCGATATTATCAATTTCAAGTATTTTGCAACGTGATATTGATCCAGATTCTCAATGAAAGAGACAACTGTTACCAATCGTATTCCTTAGTCAATACGTGCTTCGTCCAAAAGGGGTGGTCGCTGTCGGGTATTAGCTAGTCAGAAGTATCTTATTTACACCAGCACATTTTATTCAACAAAAATGACAAAACGCAGTAAATAGTTTCCGTGAGTAATAATCGCTGATTCGACCGTATGCTTAAGCGTACAAGCATACATTATTGCTGCCCAAGGGGTATTCTAGGAGAATGACAAGACGCTGTAAAATTTGATTGAAGAAACACATAGCCTTCACCGTAGAAAAGTTTGTGTGACCTTGACCTTTGTCGTTGAACTTTTTTGTGACCTTGATCTTTGTCAGATTGAAAGCTTTATGCAGCAACTCGTAATGACTTCTTAATTTTGATCCATATAAATCCATTTGTATTTCACAAGGTTCGAAATTCTCCGAAACGTTGATGGCTTACGAGAACGGAAGTACAATACTGATACATTTTTACCAAAGGGTCATGATGACCTATAGCCATTGTACTTCGTCCGTCGTCGTACGCCGTGTGTAAACTTTTGACATCTCTTCTAAAGTTCTAACAGTGGGATTGAGCTCAAACTTGCATGAAATTATCCTGAGATGGTCCTGACCAAGTGTTTTTATTTTTCGGATAGTTCTGAAATAAAAAATGGCCGTAATGACCGCCATCTTGAAAAACATATTTGAAACTTAAAAATTGGTGAGAATGTTAAGGTACGGTAGCCAACAGATTGTTGTTATTTTTCGCCCTTGTCTAAACTTCCATTTTGTAACACGATTGTGAAATCATGGTTTTCCTGTTCAACATCTATTTAAAATTTCTTCACCAGTTGGTTTGAGCTCAAACGTTTCTGTCAGTAAATAGGTAACACTTGTTACAGTTACC